GCACGGCTTCTCCATCTCGGCACTGTTGACCGTTGCGGGGGACGTCCTGTGAGTTGCAGGATGGATAGCGGCATCCCTGGCTCTGCCTTCTAGATGCCATCAGCACCCCCTCTTCTTCCACAGTCGTGACAACCAAAAATGCCTCTGGATATTACCAAATGTCCATTGGGGGTCAAAATCATCTCTCCTTCCCCCAGTGAGAACCGCTATTCTAAGTGTGTCTCACCACCTAATAAGAGATCAGCTGTGTGGTGCCCTTTCATTATATGCATCTCTTCATTATCTTATTTCTTTTCTTTTTTGCATTTAGAATATTTTCTATATATATATATTCAATAGATTCCAGTTCAGGAGGTTGCTGTGGTACTTGTGCACACTTAACCCTGGGGCAGAGCTCAAAGCGGGTGTCCGAGAACCCTTCTACACATTTACTGGCAGTCTGGACATTTTTTTCTCTCTTACGGGAATTTAAAATTGCCCGCTTACAGAAACCTGTCACGGCTCCTTGGCTGAGACTGTCACGTGGGAAGTGACTTTCCAGCCGTGTTTGGGAAGGGTCAAGAGCTGCCGATGACAGTGGGTTCTGTGTCTCGGTCACATTTCCGGTTGCCTCCCTGCCTTCCTTTCCCTTCCATCTCGGCTTCCTGAGCTGCGGGCTCCTGGCATCCATGGCTCCCCTTTCTGACAGGGCGGCCTACTGATCTAAGGGGCTCTGGCCCACCCAACAGAGGACACCATTGGTAAACGAGGGGTGACGGTCTGGGAGGACATGGGTGCGGGAAGGCTCTTGCCCGAGAACCTCGCAGGCTCTCTTGAGTGTGGAGTATTGGTTTGTGTGGTTAATTTCATCTGGAGGATGAGACTAGGACGCCCAGCCTCACGGGCCATGCACCCACAATCCCAGGGCCATGTGAGGTGCGGGAAGTATTCCAAGCGGAAAGCAGGCTGGGCAGGACCCCAGCACACAGCAGGGCGCTCGGGGCTCTGAGACGCTCTCAGAAAACACACTTCTTTCCCGGGTTTCCTAAGCAGACTCGGCCTTGGAACGCTTCTCTCTGTGGGTGCCTGTGACACCCTCGAGGTCCTCGGGGACATCCTCCGGTGTTATTACAGACCTCGCGCGATGTCATCTGAGCCCCGGGGTCCGGTATCCCCGGGGAGATGGGCTCCTCTGCCTCAGACCTCTGTGTGCACTTGCTGTGTTGTTCAGTCACACCCCCTTAGGCCAGTTCCCTCTCAACCTGGAGCACCTTGAGGTTGCTGGCAGGTACAGAACACCTAAGGAGGTGACAGCCGTGCCTACCGCTTGTCTCTCTGTGCTGCTGCAATTTCCTTCTGCTTTTCTCTTGTTGTGGCTCCCGGGCTGGGTGTGACCTTGCCTTATTCTGCCTCTGCTCTGTCCTCCTGCTCCCAGAGGTTCATACTCACGCAGCACAGACTCGGTACACATTGTCCCCTCTCCCAACCCCCCCTCTTGTGCCAGTCATGCTTGTTTTTTTCTATTTCTAAAGTGATTCTGTGTTGGAGTTGGGGATTGACATCCATTGATCACAATAAAGAGTTCGTCACCAAATATCCTTGGCACACAGTATGGCATGAATTTTACTTTAGAAAAATAATGGATTCCTTCCTTAAGTTGGTGCCACTTCCAGCTGCGGTGGGGTATTAGCTGCTGTCGCACGGTAGGAAGGGTGGGGGCAGTGTCCCCGGTGTCCCTGCCAGAGTCCAGCTGTGGCTCCCCGGGCCTGCCAGGGCTCCCGCTGCACACTGTGAGGGTGACGAGCAGCCGTCCGCTAGGACGTTCATCCTAACTCTCTCTTCTCCCCATCTCCCCTTCTCTGCCCTTTATCCCGAAAGGTTCTGCCACCCTGCACCACTGGCAGCAGTTGGCCCAGCCTCACCTCGGGGGCATCCTGGACCCCCGGCCCGGTGTGGTCACCAAGGGCTTCCGGACGCTGGACGTTGACCTGGACGAAGTGTACTGCCTTAACGACTTTGAAGAAGATGACACAGGTGACCACATTTCCCTCCCGAGCCTAGCTACCTCCACGCCAGTGCAGCACCCAGAGACCTCAGGTGAGAGGTCCCGAGCACGCGTGACTGTCTCAGGCAGCAGAAGTTACCAGAGCCGGCCTCAGGCTTTCCCAGAAGAGATGCAGGAGCCGCCAGCGGCCACGGAGGAGGAGGAGGAGGAGGAGGAGGAGGGGTCTGGACTCGTCACCGAGATAAGTCCTGTAAACCTGGCACCTTTACCGGAGGCCGAGTCCTGGGCCATTCTCACCTCTGTTCCGAGTACCATCTGTAGTGGCTCTCTGTCTGTAGCTTCCGCTCGTCTGTGTGGGTGATTATGGAAGCATGCCCATTGTGCAGTTCTGGTTTTTGATACAGGGTCGGGCGCCTCCTTTTGTAACAGATGGGTGCGGCTCCCCGCCCATCTTGGAGGCACATGGCCCGGCGGGGATCTTGAAGCGGGAGCAGGAAAGGCTGCTAAAAAGAAGTGGATTAACCCCACGCCACCCCGCCTAAATCCCTCCCCCGCCCCCCGCACATCGGCTCCCCTTGTCCTGTTGTGGGTCTCTTCCCGTGTCTAAGGGGCAGATTCTCCGGTCCCCCGGTCATTTCCAAACTGAGCTGAGTCAGGCAGTTTTAGGGGAAATTTTGAGTCCTGGATCGTTTAGAAGGTGAATGAGGGAATCAGTTCCTCACACTGCATTCAAGTGGGAGGAAGCCCAGAAAGTGTTTGGGGTTTTAGGCAGCACTGGATCAGCCTTTTACTCGTCTGACTTGAATGGAGGTTTGTATGTTTCCTTTCCAGCTCAGACTGTTTGTTCTAAGTGGATTTTTAAAAAGCGTTTTAGCGATACTCCTTAACCGAACCAACCCTAAGAGAATGTCACGAAGCTCTCCCAGGAAGAGGACTCTAGATGAATCTAGTAAAAAGCTCTGACTGGTCTCCCCTGTACCCCGCCCCCTACCTGTCCTAACGAACTTAAAGATGTGACCATGAGTTTACAGAACCACCCACGCCCTAGGTGTCACTGGGTTGAAAAGCTTTGTGCTCAGGGTCTGGGATCACAGTGGTCACGTGGTTTCTGTTGGCCAGACTTCCTGGACCTCTTGGCTGCTTATGCCGAGAAGATAAGGAAGTTCTTATGGGATAAGGGGAGAGACCCAGAAAGAGTTGACTTGACCCCGTGTCTTCATCCTCGTGATGTTCCTGAATCACCAAGTTTGGAGGTGCTCCTTCATCTCTGGGATTCGTAATTTCATTCGTGAAGGCCACAGTACGCTTTACACAGTACACGGTAGGACAAAGCTTGAGGTTCTTGGTGGCGTCTCCCGTCCCCTGGCTACGTTCAGACTTCTATGGCCGAGGGACTTTATTTGTGACCAACTTTTCTTTTCTTTTTCTTTTTTTTTTTTGACATAAACTTCAGAGATATCAGATAAAAAAGATTTTTTTTTTTTAGCATATAGGCTTATTTATGGTTTATTTTATTTAGCCATTAAGTTACCAGATTAAGCTCACCCGAGAGTGAGAATGCTTGTTATTTAGTATCTTCACATTTGAGAAGGGGAAACTGGCCACAGTGGCCGCGGTATTGTGACTTCCCTTTGTTATGGCCACCGGTGCCCGTGTGCCAGGCCCAGTGATGCAGGAGACACAGCGTGTGCTCGTTTGGGGGGCTGAGGGTTGGAATCCTGTCGACTGTGACGAGCCCTCCCTGCAGCCCTGCGTGTGGACTGGAAGGTGAATCTGGCGTTTCAAGAAGCACCATTAGCTGTATCTTTGAGAAGTTGCACAGAAGGAATAAAGTTTATCAAGTCAGCTAGGAACTTCTCTCAGAGGACAGAGGGAGACGGGGGACCGATTCTGAGGACCTAAGTGCTGACTCCTTTTCTTACATGAACAAAGACATAGTTACTGCTTCTTCCCCCTTTACTCACACCTGTAGCACATTCACCCCAGCAGCTTTGAGGAGAGGCACACAAATCTACCACTGCAGCCACAGAGGGGTCTGGTGGGACGTGTGCGGTGGAAAAAGAACCACGTAGGCTGCCGAAGGTAATTTAGGAAAGGTTTGGTGGTGTAGGTGAGAGCTCTTTGGGGCTTGTTTTCTGGGTAAGACCCATTTAAAGCTCAGGGCAGAGGGGAGAGATGTGACAATGATTTGGCTCCTTTTTCTCTGTTGGAGAGTGACAGGACCATTTTGAGTCTTGGAATAGCACAGTCCCAGGAGCTGCCATCTGCCTGGGAAGGTTGAATAGGGAGAAACCTAGAAGACAGGAGGTGATTAATCTTTTTCCTTGCAACTGGTATAATGGGAGGAAGTTGGGAGGGCTTGTGTATCAGGCACTTTCGTCTAGAGCCTGCTGTCTCATGGAGAAAAAGTTTTGAGTATGTACTGGAAAAAAATTATTAATATATTTTAATGTATTATTGTATCATCATTTGCTGGTTTTTTATAATCCCATGTCTTAAAAAGGATGAATCCTTGTTTTCATATTTGTAAATCATTTAGATGATTAAAATGGAGCGTTTCAAACAATTTTTAGGTTATAGTTTTATTTTATTTCAGTGACATATTTTATGTTTTCATTCATTTTATGTTTTCATTCATCTAGAAAGTACACTTTATCAGAAGGAGTCATTATCTCGTACCGTCCGTGTTCTGGGTTTTAGATGTTTGTGCGTAGGGACGAGCCTGCCTGTGGTAGAGGATTAAAATAAGGGCTTTAGTCACACAGTTGTCCATAGATGGTTGGTTGGACAGACGGTTCAGTTGAATTATCTCTGATACTTTGATGCCAAAGGGGAGAAAAAGATGGGATTCAAGCAACAGAGAAAGAAAGTGCAGGTCAGTTTATTTTAACACTCAGACACGTGAAGGCCACTTCGAGTGGGGGAAATATAAAACAGGCTCGTACATATGTAGCTACCTGTGTGGCCAGTGGGCCTTGCAGTGGAGCTGTGTCATCGTTGGAGCTAAGATCCTAAAGTAAGCATTGAAGGTAGAGATCACATTTGGTCAAAACAGCCCCTGGAAAAATCCCCTGAGGCTGCATCACCTGGGCCCCAGAGGCAAAAGCCAAGAATCAGCTGTTTTTGTAGCTTCCTTATTTGGCACATAGGTCACAGGTCCAGGTTCTGTCCAGGCCGGTTAATAGGGAAGGGAAGGGAACCTCTGGGAAGGAAAGGAGCCGGGCATTACTCTAGCTCGTGATTTGAGCAAAGCCCTGCCAACCCGCATCCTGTCGCACTTTATCTCACTGCAGAAGCAGGATCCAGGTGGGCTTATGCCGGAAAATTGGCCATGGGGCCTAACAGACTGGAAGGAAATGTCTGGTACATCCGAGTCATAGACCTCAGATTCAGAAAAGTTCCCTCTTGTCTCCACGGAGAGAGTTGGTGACGAGTTACCACCCTGGTGGGAGGCTTTTCGGTCCAGCCCGAATTCTGTAACAGTTTCAGGAGTTTGGTCCTTACAGACAGAGCAGATGGTCTGCTCATACCCTCCTGTATTTGGAGATGCTGAGGAACCCCTGAATGACGAATGAGAGCTCTGACTTCTCCCAAACAATCCGCGGAGCGTCAGCCCTGCTTAAAATTTCCAGAACAAAATCTGCTTGTCGGAAGCGCGTTGTCCACGGCATCCTCAACCCTGAAAGCCTTAGGAGGGCCGTCCCGCGCTCCTAGGGGCACCATCGGACTTGTTGCGGAGCGGGCGTCTGCGCCCATGCTTTTCTAACGTGGAGGGGCCCTTGAGGGAGCGGGTGGGCGTTGAGGTTCGCTGAGCTGTCCAGTTGCGCCGCCTGGCGACGCCCGGGAGAAGTGCGCTGTGGAACTGGCTTGGAAAGCACTGATGAGCAGAGGTCTTGACCAGGCAGCTTAGCCAGGCAGCTCTTGCACTTGCCAGTGTCTGCCACCCAGGGAAGGACAAGAGGACAGAGGCCATGGGGTCCAGCTTTGTTGGCATCCGGGGATCCAAAGAGAGTGTTGCATTTGCCCTTTTGACATTTTAACAGCATTCTAAAAAATTCCCTTTGCTCCAGAAGAGACGCCTCTTTGAAGGAGTTTCTGGTCCTCTCTGCGTGATGCTGTGAGATTGAACATCTGCTACATCCTATACTTTTTAAGTGAAACTGAGAGTAGACATATTGGTATAGTGGGAGAGGATAGACTTTTAATTTAAAAAAATTTTCAGGGACCCCACATAAGCTGTATGAAACCAGAAAAAGACCTTGCAGTGTGCAATGAGAAAGCTCACCAGTGGCACAGGCTGACGTCTGCACAGGGGATCCAGGGATCCCTAGAGAGCTCCAGGACCAGAGCAGGGCTGTGTCGAAGAAAGGCTTAAGAAGCAGAGAAAAAGCCGGGCTCGTGTGAAGCCTGGGACTAAGGAGCTAAAGAATGTCATCTTCTAACAGGACGTAGTTTAAAATCACTTTTATTAAAATATAGAAGAAAGCTGCACTACTATATCAGAAACTGCTCGGTAGCCTCCCCGGACCCAGAAGAATGCCCGTTAAAGCCGCGTTAACCCCAAACAGTATTTCTGATAAAGATAAAGCACAGAGCAGACAGGTTTTGTGGAGCTTTCCTCACATCAACTCCTCATAGAATGGTTCTCATTTTCAGAAAAAATTCATGGCCAGAATTATATATAAAGAAGCAACAGAAAGGGTCTTTAAGGTATTTTGCTGTACCCCGATATTTTAGTCTTTTAGGAAGAATTTCCAAAGCATTGTTTCTGTACCTTTTTAAAAAATGGGCACGTAGCTGAAAGGCAAAGAGACGGCCTCTTCCCCCACGCCCCCCACCCCAGTGCAAAAGGCAACAAAATCCTAAACAGCTGGTAAAAAGGTAAAAAAAAAAAAAATTCAGGCCACGCCGTTAAGCTGGATGGACAGTGGCTCTTATTGTCAATAGGTTGGTTTTTGCTCAGATAGAAAAGACTGTCCCCTGTGCCACTGTTGATATGGTGGCAGCTTCTGGAATTAAAGGGGCTGTTTGGCATGGGGAGGGAGAGAGAATGTGAATGTGTGTGTGTGTGTGTGTGTGTGCGCGCGCGCGCGCAAGTTCGTAGAAACTGCAAAGCAGATCCACATCGTGTGACAGCAGCATCACACTCCATGTTCAAGTTAGGGAAAGGAAAAAAGGTCAGGGGCACTTTGTTTTACACCAGCTGGTCACTTCCTGTGAAGACGGCGGGGAGAGAATATGGAGGGTCTCAGTGTGTCTCAACGATGGAGTTCTTTTTTTTTTTTTTTTTTAAGATTTTGGGATGCAGTTGTACTTCTTTTTTTTTTATGTTTCAAGAAGTTATTTATGTGACCAAAGTAATAGCTGGGCCGTGCAGCATGGCCAGCATTTCTCCGTCCTCGAAGCAGCCTTTATGTGTACGTTGCAGACCCCCTCGAAGCAGCCTTTATGTGTACATTGCAGCTCCCCGCAGAAATCACTGGGCGCAGTTAGGTGCTCCCTGACGACTGTGTGGGCTCATGTAAGGGACTGTTTAAGGACTGGGTGCTACGATGGCCTTGAGAGAGCCACCAGCCTGCCCTTTCCAGGCCAAAATGCCATTCGGATAACTGAAATGCGTGAGCTGGTGTGTGGATCTGATATGTGGATGACCAGGCTGGCAGAGTCCCCCAAGGGTCCTTCAGGTCCCCACCAGAGTATCCCAGCCTTGTTCCTTCTCGCCATTAGAGCAGTGGATCGTGGGGAGAGCACGCACCCCATGACTGGTGCTGCAAGGTCCCAAGCTCCCAGGTTTCCAGTCAGTATCAGGTGTCACAGGCCCACAGAGGAGCGCAGCAGTCAGAACCCTTTACCAAGTGCACCTGCTCCAGGCGGCAGGCACGTCAGGGGGACTGTCGCCCTCATAAAGCCCTCCGGTGCTTTCCCGCTCCCACCCGTCACTACCTGAAGGATGTGTGTGCTTGCACGTGCCATGTTTTTGGACCAAAACATCTGTTCAGTAACTACCTGTGTGTAGTTTACTGATGCAGGTAGGAGATCTCAACTAATAAAGGATTAACCAAGTTCAAAGGTTATCTTTGTTAGTTTGGGATTTTTGTACCAGTGCCAGAGCCTAGGGGAAGAGGGGCAAATAAAAGTGATAAGGGGTTAGGGGTTTTGCTGGGACATGCAAGTTCCTTCCTAAATAAAATACTGGATGCGAACACTCGTGCATCTTTATACTCTAATCCACTTGCCCTCTGCTCTCAACACAACGAGGCCCGCCCTCCACAGTCAGACTGAGACGCAGAGGAAGGATTATAGCAGAAGGTCAGAGCGTGGTGTCCAAGAAACCCTGTCCGTGGAGGCCTGAGCAAGCAGTGCGAGGTGAACGCACGGCCGCTGAGGCAGGGCTCGTGTGTGGAGTGTGGGGGGGGACCGGGGACTTCAGTCGTGAGCCCTCCCCCTGACCCCCGCACCCTGCTGAGAGGAATGTGTCTCATGCCTCTTTTGAGCCATTGCTCTCTCTCACGTGCAGGGCGGTGGGGATTGGTCCGGGCTGCGCTGTGGCAGCACAGGGAGCCTCGGCCACTCACTGTCTCTGTGTTGTGTCTCAAGGAAGGGCGGGGCTGCAGCGGCCGGGCAGGCGGTGACTGGAGGAGAGCTGGCGGTCCCCGCGTCCCAGTGGTATTTCAGAGGGGCCGAACCTCTGGCTTTGGCACTTTTGACCCTGGTTGATCTTCTCTGGTCCTCTCAAGCTATCCCTTGCTTCTGGGGAATGATGACTTTGGATTTTAGCAGCCTTTTCTTGTCCCCAAAACCCATTTGCATAAGATGGGTTTTGCTTTCTTCGGATGCAGCTGTGTCTCTAAAATATCCATCTTACACTCCCTGTTGCAATCAAAGATCCAATATGTGACAGGGGGGAGCAGGGCGGGGGGAGGAAGCAAACATCATGACCTTTTGATTTGACATTCTGGCCATGCATTTTTAAAGGGGGGACACTTCTAATTTCCAATCCAGCCTTGCTTCCGGTGGATCGTTTTAAGTGTGATCTCTCTCTCAACGATTCTGTCTTAACCACGTCTGTTTCCCGCCTTTTTCTTTCCTCCTGCCTAAATAACACCTCGCGCTGTGTGGGATGCTTCTCCTCAGGTGTTCTGTTGCTTCTGTTTCTACACCTTGTGACCGCCAGGGAATCGTGATTGTTCGGTTGCCTTTTCTTCACGGCTTACATCCCATTTTTGTTTTGCGTGTAGCAGCAGTTTCTCAGTTAACCCAGTTCCTAAGCCACTCCATTTACTGGTTGAGAAACAAAGATTCATAAAGGCTATTTTTCTGTGTCCCCGCCCGCCCCGCCCCTGCTTTGCCTGGAGCTCCCTGTGGCTGAGAGTTTGCTTTTGTGGCCATGGTGTGGCTGTCACACCAGGGGGCTACAGGAACCTCCCTGGCCGCAGAGAGCCGGGTCAGACCTTGCTCATCGGGACGAACCCGTCTCGTGTTGCTCCCCTGGCCACCGCCACCATTTTTGTGCTCTGGCTTTGTCCTGCCCGCCTTCAATTTACGTGTCTCCAACATTTTTTTGTTCGTTTATTTCATCTGGTTTCTGGTTTTGTTTTTTCTTTTTTCTTTTTTTTTAAAGACACAATCACCTGTGTGTGGATTTGTAGGTTTAGAGCACCAATCTCTTCTGTTTTGTCTTTTTTTTCCATTGGTTTGTTTTTTTGTTTGTTTTTTTTTTTTTGTCAAATCCAAGAGAAAACTTGCCATAAAGAGCTAGAAGATTCTCATTCACAGCCTTTTGAATCTTCAGAGCGCACATGGCCTCTGACACCTTAATCAGTTTTCTCCCAGGAGGTCTCTGGGGGCTGAGCTGCTGCAGGGGTGGGGGGCTGGGTGGGGTCGGGGGTCCCCGTACTTCATTATGCATGCTATTTGGAGCAGCGTCTCTTTTTTTTTTTTCTTTTTTTCTTTTTTTTTTTTTTAATGTTTGCGTTATGAACGAGAACGACCTCTACAATCATGACGTCTCCTGTAGACTCTTACTACTTATTCCTCGCCAGGCTTCTGATGCACGATCCTAACGCGTCTGTGATTTACTTTGCTCCCCATCATAAATCTTCAGCTGCCTTAACAATAACTCTGTAGAGCTTTAAAAGGGGGTAAATTGAGAACGACTTGTTGCCACCTCATTTTCATTAGAAATCAGGCTTCCTAGAGATGGCAAGAAATTGGAATGGTGCTGCTCACAGCGCTCGTACGTCCGACGACACTGGATCTCTCGCCGAGTTGTTGCTGAGGCAGCTGAGGCCCCATCTGCCACCCCACGGACCACAGACAGACAGTAGTGGAGCCAGCCTCCCCAAGCCCCTTTTCTGCGTAAGCAGAAAAGCGAGCCAGCCGCACGAGCCTTGCCCCGTTTGCAGGTGGCAAGTGCCTTTCCCCATCCTGCACCTGTCCCCTCCCTTCGGCAGGGTTTGGCACCTGTTTGCCAATGAAAAGAAACGTAAAGCAACAGAGAAAGAAGCTGATTCTGACCTCTGAAGAGGGGACCCAAATTGACCCCCATGGGCCCATTAGCCCCTCGAGCTGGATCCACTACTGGCCAAAGAACGCCGATGGGGAGCCCTGTCTGGACTGGGTCGGAAGCTGGAATTCGGTGCTCCGCACGCGGGTGCTCAAAAGTGTGGTTGTTTTTTGACGAACCACCTTCGATCCAGAACATGTGCGTTTCACCTTCCTCGCCCAGGTCCAGTTAACAAGGTAGCTCATCGCTTCTTGCATCTGTGGAGGGCCATCCTGCACCTTTGTCTTCTCATGGGTATACTTGGATGCAAGAAATATGTTTTGTCCCCCCTCCTTCCCCCCAATTTAGCACACCACCCTGGGAAGTGCATGTCACAGACCAACTCCACCTTCACCTTCACTACCTGTCGCATCCTGCATCCTTCAGACGAGCTCACGCGAGTCACGCCAAGGTAAGGGACCCCAGCCCCAGGGGTGAGCAGGGGTGGGGTGAGGTGGGGGTGTTCCTCCATGAGACCTGAGGTCGAAGGCAGCTCAAGTAGACAGGCTCATTCAACACCAGCTCCGGCCAGCAAAGCATCTCGCAAGCACTTGCGGGCTCCTGTTCCACGTCCCGTCTTTCCTTTGGGAAAGGCCCCTCTCGGTCTGATCCAGCATGGAGAGAGAGAGAGAGAGAGAGAGAGATCTGACCCACCTTCAGTTGCCCGTTGAGTCGGCCATGGGATAGTCTCAGGCCCCTCCTTAACCAGCTGAAGCTAACACTCCCCCAGGCCCTAAGGCCGAGTCTGTTGGCTTTTTGCCCCAAACTTTGCCAGCAAAACATGAAGTTTTTTCACAGAATGGTTACTGAGCCCTGGGGGACCCCTTGGGCCCCTGGAGCAGACTGCAGAACCGTGCGCCACGGCCACACTGTAATGACTTAAATGATAACTTTTGAAGACTGAACTGCGTGCCCAGCGTGGGCCATTTCCCTCCGGTGCCTCTGAGAACCGACAGCGGTTCGCACCGTCCGGCGAGGGGATTTGCGTGGCGTGGGTGGTCTGTGTGGCTTGATTTCAGGCCTTCCGCAGCCTCCGCTCAGCCACTCTGTGGTACAAGACGCCTGGGGAATGATGGTAAAGCAGAGACGGAGGGAGGGAGACAGGCAGGGCCAGCGTGGAGGGAGCCGCCGCCCAAGGAGCCCCTTACACTCTGAATAACTCTCCGCAGGTCATGTGAGGAGGACGACGAAGCAGCCCCATGCCCCGTTGAGCTGAGAGGAGATGTAGGGCAGAGAGTGCGCCCACGGGCGAGGCAGGGGGTGAGCACACAGCAGCAGCACCTGCCTGCTGGCAGGCAGGGCCACGCGGAAGGAGCCGTGTGTGCACGCGTGGCCGCCACTAACCCGGGACTCGGGCGCGGGTGTGTCTCTGTGATTGTGCCTGGCTAACTCGGCCTTGACAGTGGATACCCCTTAACCCCTCTAAACGCCCGAGTCGAGCCGAGCGCCCGCACTAATACAGGCCTAACTGCAGTTCTCACCGGAGGGGGATCTCCATAGGTTAGCTTGTCAGTCTCCATCTCCCTTCCTGCCTCTGGGGAACCCAGAGTCCCCGTCCCGTGGCTTTATGTTAGGAAGAGATTGTGTTTAAAGCCGTGGGACAGGGCTTCCCCCAGGGAGGGCTGGCACCCTGGTGTTCCTCTGACCGCAGCCGTAGAAATCAAAATTGCACACCCGTCTGCACCTATAGGGCCTTGCCAGGGACGGGAAAAGTCAGTAGCGAGAGAAGAGGGTTTATTTTTCCTTTTCGCCTAAGTTTGAAAGAACAGCAGCTGGAAACAAAACCAAACGCCTCCTAGGAACGGCCCTGTGAACGATGTTAAGCCCAGATCTTTTCTGACCAACATTGCCTGGAGGTCGACATTTTGTAGGATTCCACCTGCACCATTTGAAGAGTCTGCCTTGTAACCTTAGGAATCTGCTGTGGTTTCTAACCTCGCATTTCTCCGAGTGCCCCTGCACCCCCACTCCTGAGCGTCTGTCTCTGGGAGACAGGCCTGTCCTGTGTGCCTCGCCCTGTGCTGACTGGCCAGCGCGAGGTCACCTGAGTGTGGGGCCAAATGACGCCTCAGCGTGTACTTGCTTGTGAACTGTCCCTCCTGCAGGAGGGGCCCCCTGCTCTGGTCATTCCAGGAACCCACTCCGGAGTGTGTCCTCTTCCTTCCCTTGCCCCATGTTGGGGCTTTGCCCAAGGTATCTGGCCCTCCCCCGTCAGGCTGGGGAGACAGGGCTCTGTCCCCAGCTCCTCAGGCCACCCAGCTGGCCTACTCCCAGGGGCTCCTGCAGCCGCAGCCACATCCTTGGGAGGGCACCGGACAGGTCTCGTAAGACAGTTAGGACGGATGTGCCGCTGTCCCCCTTGATGGCTCACGCAGCAACAGCGCAGGGCTCCCGTGCCCACGCGGCCTCCCCCATCCCATAGCAGCTGTGAGAGGAAGGCCCTTCCTGTTCTTCGGGCAGCCGGCAGTGCCTTGCCCCCGCTGGCCTTAGACTGTCCCATCCGAATTCCCTTCACAGTTGGACCCCAGGTGCCGTGACATAGTGGGTCCTCAGTCAGCAGGACTCGAGTGGATGAAGGAATCTTTGCTTTCCTGTAGAAACAGGTTTCACACACCCACGGGGCCTTTTCCTAGGAAGCTCCATAGATGTAGATCCGATAGCCCAGTGTGCTTCCTCTGACCCCATAACTCCACTTATCGGGATGCATTTGGGCCGCCGCAGCAAGGACCAAGTGCAGCTCCTTGCGGAGGCAAGAAGGCCGGGATCTGCCACTGACTTGACGGGCACTTCCCGCCTCAGTTCCTCCATCACCCGAGTGCCCTCCATCTGGATGACCCGCCTGCTTTGGCCATCCCTAGATAAACTCTCATTTCCCATAGTGCTGGGTAACTCCTTACGTCAGAGAAGTAGGCGGTAGGAACGCTGGAAATTGAGTAAATTTGGTGGAGGACGAAAAGACCTCTCTGCCGAAGCACTTCCTCCCCTATTTGGGGGCGGGGTCACTCAGACTTGGGTTCGAATCCAGGGTCTTCTGCTTAACAGCTGAGTGTGACATATGACCTGAGCCTGTTCCCTCGCCTGCAGAGGGGACAGTTATACACACCCTGGGGCCTGAGAGAAGGGGATCGTGTGCAGCTTCCTATTCACTTAAACCGTGCCCCGCCTCCGGGAACCCAAGGCCCCTGTGGGCGAGGGGGGAGCAGATGTGGCAGGAGGCATCGGGGGAGCCTGGGCCGGGCCAGTCGTCCCTTCCTGTCCCAGGCCTGCCCTTGTCATGCTGCTCACGGGCATTTTCTGATAAACGACCTCGTCTTTTCTTAACAGCCTTAACTCGGCCCCGACTCCAGCTTGTGGCAGCTCCAGCCACTTAAAGTCCACGCCGGCGGCCACGCCGTGCACTCCCCGGAGGCTGAGCCTGGCCGAGTCCTTCACGAACACCCGCGAGTCCACGACCACCATGAGCACGTCCCTGGGGCTGGTGTGGCTGCTGAAGGAGCGGGGCATTTCGGCGGCGGTGTATGACCCCCAGAGCTGGAACAGGGCCGGCGGGGGCTCCCTGCTGCACTCCTACACCCCCAGGATGGCTGTGATCCCCTCCACCCCACCCAACTCGCCCATGCAGACGCCCACGTCTTCCCCGCCCTCCTTCGAGTTCAAGTGCACGAGCCCGCCCTACGACAACTTCCTGGCGTCCAAGCCGGCCAGCTCCATCCTGAGGGAGGTGAGGGAGAAGAAGGGCGTCCGGAGCAGTGAGAGTCAGACAGATGTGTCTGTCTCCAACCTCAACCTCGTGGACAAAGTCAGGCGGTTCGGCGTGGCCAGAGCGATGAACTCGGGGCGAGCCCACGTCCACACGCTGACTGAGGATCAGGGACCTCTTCTCTGCCGGCCCCCGGGCCCAGCACAGGGCCTCGTCCCTGGAGGCCTGGTACCCGAGGGCCTGCCTCTCGGATGCCCGACCGTCACCAGTGCCATCGGCGGGCTGCAGCTCAACAGTGGCATCCGGCGGAATCGCAGCTTCCCCACCATGGTGGGGTCCAGCATGCAGATGAAGGCCCCCGTGACGCTCACCTCAGGCATCTTGATGGGTGCTAAGCTCCCCAAACAAACCAGCTTGCGGTGAGGGTGGGAGGGGCGCCCTTCCGAGGAGACAGGTCGGGTCCTGCCCCCACTTCTCTTCCCCTCTCCACTGTGCTCTCCCCTCCCCGTCCGTCCCCTCCTGAGCTAGACAAATCAACCTCGTGCCTCATGGGGGAAGAGTGGAGACTGTGAAACGTGTATATAGGACCTGGAGCCCACGGGAGGTGCCCCAGCACTGCCACCGCTCTCCTGAGGACTTCACCTGTGCTGGCTGGGGGCAGGGCAGGCAGGTGTCTTTTCCTTTTTTTTTTATTCTCCTTCTATCCTTCGAGAAGCACTGAAACTCCCAATGACATTCTTATCCCATGGATAGGAACCCGGTGAAGTCGCGGCTGGCTGCCCGTGCTGCACACGGTGAGCCGTCACGTGGCACAGGGCACAATGCCATGCCCCTCGGTGTCGCTGGGCACCTCGCCCACCCGGCGAGAGCGTGAGGAGCCTCCGTCCACAGCCACATGCAGCTGACGTAGCTTTCAGGACTGTTCTTTCTTTTCTGGGTGGCCCAAGCTTCTTCGAGACCTTCACTACTCTGCCTCAGTGGACGGCCGCTTCCTTTTCGAGGGGTGACTTTTTCTTTCCAGGCCTTCACGCTAAAGTCGTCCTTCAGTGTTTCGTAATCAGCTGTCAGGTCGGACATCTAACCCAAAAGAGAATGTATTTACACTCGCGCTGCACTGGTCAGCAGTCCCTGTGGGTTCTGTGTGATTTGTTTTATTTTTCCATTTTTATTTTTTATAGGCGAGGAAGTAATGGTACTAGATGGGAAGTCGCAGTAGATGTTCTCTCTGTGGTTCTGTGATACCAAAATTCAAGTGACAAACACACCAAGCTGCTAAGGAGATAGCAGTTTGTTTCTGGGACCCAATGTCACGACCAAATGGAGTAAGACCAGAGTGAGGACAACATTCGTAGGAGGATTCAAAGGAAAAGGGGACAGGGACAGAGGTCGAGGGAAATGTGTCAACAGTAAAACAAACCACAACCAAACCTAATACCAAACTAGTTCACAGGAGAAACGAGGCTTTGAACTTCTGCTGGGCCCAGCCCTTTACTGAAACCCAAGTCTGGCCCATGTGCTTTCACTCGCGTGGTCTTTCGTGACAGCCATTCAGTGTCCACGCGTTTTTCTGTCTTGTTTTAGAACAGAGCGGTCACGAGAAGATATTTCTTTCCCTCCAAAGCCCTGGGTCTCCTTGTGCCACTTTTTATCCTTGGGGAAAGATAGAGGTGCTCGCGAGACGAACCACGAATGAGCAAGGGAGCCTGGTCCTATTGCTGTCGCTAAGTTTTGAACTTTTATTTATTATTTATGTGTGCCGTATTTTAAACAAACACCCTCTCTCCTTCCCAGCTCCAGTCACAGAGTGTCTGTGGCATTCCAGTCTAAGCAGGTCATTGATCTGTTCTAACCTGAAGACTGCAGTGTGCATCACGGTGTTCCGTGGCCATTTGTTCCAGACATTTATGGAAGGATAACATCATATGCAAATGAAATTGCCATTTTGCACCCTCTGATCCCCTCCCACACCCCCCATGGCAAAAGATGTGTCCTTCACTTGAATGACTGTAACCTTATGGCCACTGAAGAAAGTCCCCAGGAGCAAGCTTTGGTCCCATAATTTCAGACTATTTATTCTCTGAACACGAGGATGTCGGTTAATTATGTTTTCAATGCTCCTTGTGGTTGTGTGTGTGCACTCATTTTGAAGAACTTCTCTCTTTTTATTTGAATGTATTTTAAAGCAGTAGGTAGAATAACAAAGGAATGTGAAAACCCTGGACCGAATGGACCACTTTATATCTTCAGAGAGAGGAGCCACCCATCACCACAAAGGGGTACCGGTGTAAAAATCAGCAGTTCGGAGGTTGCAGTATTTAGTATAGTAAATTAATGATCAACATTGGGCAACCACTATCAAAAAGTGTGTTATAATGCATCAAAAATCAACAATAAAATTTTATTTGCTAACGAATATCAATAAAATAAGTTCAAATGATGGAAACCATATGGCTATTCTGATTTGTATTTTGTTCTTATCTTTTTCATCGAGGAAATGATCTCTTTATGTAAGACTTGAAGTATTCTGCTCTTTGGGGAAATTAAATGAAAGCCATTTAGTACTTTATATACTGTTATAGCTGCCCTTACTTTTAACATATTATACCTTAGACAACTTTCCAGTCAGAACTTGAAGCTCTGCTACTTTTCAGGACTGCATACTATTCCACCATGCACACGTGCCCACTGTCAATACATACCTATTTCTATGGACCAGTATGAACCAGCGCCCTACAGCTGAGAATTGAGTTTATTCTAATCATTTGCTGTCACAGCCCTGTAATGAAAAAACCTCGCATATTTGTAGTTTCCCACAGATGTGAGGACATCTGTGAGATAAATTCCTAGATAGATGTCACCCAACTGCCGTCTGTAGAGTTGTGTTAAAAGACTTTTAAAAACGAAGGACAGTGGAGAGTGACTACACAGAGAATTGTGGGAAAGGGATAAATAAAACTTATTCTTAGAAAAGAAAGGAACTTAAAAGAAAAACTATCTGCTACTGCAATATATGGAAGCAGCAAAATTATGCAAGCAAACAGTAGTGGGTGGCGGCAGCATGAACTTTATGTCAGGTGCTGCCATTTGGTAATGGTGTGACCTTGGGAAAGCCACTTACCCTCTTTGAGTCGTCCATTTTTTTTAACCTATGAAATGGGAAGGGTAAGACACCTCAGGGTTAAATCTATTATGAACATCTGCCACGAGCTAGGGCTTGTTCTAGGTGGTAGGGATCCATAAGCACGTGAGCAGCTTCTGCTCTCATGGGGTGTGCGTGCAATCTGTCAATAGATGACACCACACATGGCATCATCAGGGCTATGCAGAGAACTAAAATAGGCTGGTGTCAGGTGGTGGGTGGCTACTCTGGGCAGTCAGGGAAGGCCTCTCCAGGGAGATGGCATTTGAGTCAACCATGTGAGTTCTGGCACAACAGCATTTGGGCAGCGAGAGCAGCTGGTGCCACCGCCCAAAGGTAGGAAAGCATTTGGTGTGTTTGAGGAGCAGAGAGCAGTCTCGCGTGGCTGTGTCCTCGTGAAGAAGAGGGGTGTGGTCATGGCAGAGAAACCGCGTGCTCACCGAATGGTTCGCCCGCTCTCCGTGTTCCCCAGCCACTTGGCAGTGGGCGGGGCGCGTGATTCACTCTGGCCAGTGGGCTGCCAGCGGAGAAGAATCCACACGCACTTCTCCATGCTTCTCTCTTCCCCTGGAGCCATGTGTTGAAATGGTGGTGTCACGAGTTGGTGGAGCCTCCATCATTCTAGGTCTCCGAGGAACCATGTGGACCAGACTCCCGGCCAACCTGCATTTGACTCGTGATCTGAAGAAAAAACAAACTTGTTAAGCCAGTGAGGGTTGTAGGCAGCGAACCCCCAGGGCGGAGCCCAGGTCTCTGTGTTTTACCAAGCTGTCCAGGTGATTCTGGGGCTCACTAAAGTTTGAGAACCACTGTGCGAGACCAGTCAGAGTTGGGGTGGGGGTCCTGCCTTGGGAGGGGTGGGCACCCTTTCCCAGCCTCTCCCTGTCTCAGGGGCTCAGAAGGCCAGACAGCTACAGCTCACCTTGCTTTCAAGGAAAAGAGACTGGGTGGATTTGTCTGCCTGGCTGGGGTGGGGAAGGGTAAGAGGCGAGGTGACCCTAGATCTGGGCTTCAAGGATGGGGAGGATTTGACATGTGGCAAGGCATTCCAAGCAGAGGGAAAGGTGTGGCAGGGGGGGGAAGGGATCCGAGGATGCTTTCTTCTAAGCTCTTATACTACAACGGCAATTGATAAATTAGAAGGGACAATAGAGTTAAAAACCCTACCATTTTGCAACCCTAAAACTAACTCATTTAGACAACCGTGGATGCTGAAACCCTTGGGTAACAATTTGACCAGGAGCAGGACGTTTGCACCCATCGTATCTTCCCACAGAACGTGTGCTGATTTTTAAAGAAGGGGGAACCTGTCATGTACCACTTTCAACAAGACGTCAAATTTAACACTACCCCAATGGGACAAACTGATAACAGATGCCTCCCGACGTGTGATGTACTGGGAAGGACACGCTGCTTCTGTGCTGTTCTGCCAAAGACAAACCCAAATTGAGGGGCATTTTACAAAACACTGTACCCGTTTCCTTTAAAACTGTCAACATCGGGAGAGGCCAAGGAATTGTTCCAGAATAGAGGAGGATAAAGAGACAGACGCCTAACGCCATTCGTGATCCTGAATTGGAAAAGATACCATGAAAGACAATTTGGGGGCAATCAGAGAAATTTGAATATGGAGCATATGTTTAAAAATAGTGTATCAGTGTTCAATTTCTTGAATTCAATCATTGGACTGTGACTATGTAAAAGCATGTCCTATTTCCTAAGAAGTAGTAGCTAAAAGCTTAAGATAAAGGGCCTTAGTATCTGTGTGCAAGTAATCTTTACATATTTCTGGAAAAGAAAGAATTTTTTTTTAAAGTAAGATATAAGAAAAAGAACCCTTGGAGGGTGGGGAGCACCCTAATACTATATGTTTTGGCAGGGGGGGTGTTCCAGGCAGTTGGTTTCTCCTCCCTGTTCTTTACTAAAATTTTGCTCATATGTTCAAGCCCTGCCCCCAGCCCATGCGGCTCAGGACCAGAGGGCACCATGTCCAAGGGGAAGTTGTCAAAGAAGCAATTGATGGCACCAGGAAACAAAGATGTCAAGTTCCTGGGGTTTAATTATGAGGGAAGAAAAGCTGAGTATGGACCAAGAACTAGACTTTGGATGATGAGCACACCATAGAGTACACAGATCTCAAATTATAACGCACACCTAAAATAGAATATTATTAACCAGAGTTACCTCAATAAAGATAATTGAAAAAATAATCAATTTCCCCCCCCCCCCAAAAAAAGATTTGGAAAACCCGTGTTTTTTTACTGCTTACTCCCCCTCTGCTTCTCCCACATTCCGAACAGGCTCTCCAAGCTGGCACGTGAGGGAGCAGTTGAAGAAAGAGAATTCTGAACCACGAGTGGTGTGGGACCCTTCACTTCACTATCCTCCGGCCAAGTGCAGGGTCTTGGGAGAAGCCCCAGCTGAGTCTGACGACCCAAAGACAGATGAGCTAGTTTCTCAGGGGGGCTGGAGGAAATAGAGATGTTCCAGAACCGCACGCCAGCTCCTCGACCCCAACCCAGGGCAGTGACCTCAGCAGGCAGGGAGAATAGAAATGATAGCAAGTATCCAGCGCCAGTCAGAAGTGGGACTCACTCCCAAACATCCTCTGGGAGCAGAGAGGCAGGCATGCCCCAGGGACCTTCCCAGCAGGACAAAGAAAGTGGACACACGCCTTCCTCACAGCTCCATCTAATGCGGGCCTCCAGAACTTAGATGCCACCTGGGGGCGGGGAAGTCGGTGGAGGTAGAAAACCATGCTGAATTATCTGAATTGACGGAAGCTCTTAATAGGGATTAGAAAAAAATATCTGTTGCACATTGGGGCTCGGGACTGAAAACATCATATCCTGGGAGGATTTATTTTCTGTAGCCAGCAGAGGGCACTTGGAGGCAGCAGAAAACCTGAAGGAACCTGCCCTGGTGATCCAATCCTAAAATTAGGTGGGTTTGCTTTTTCCCTGGAAAGCAATTCAGGCAAGTAGCTGTGCCTAAGGAGACATTGAGGGAGGTCATGATGCACGGTCTAAGTTCACCAGGTGAACTTGACAAAGGCATTTCTGGCCAAGGGGGCAGTACGCACGGGCTTGGGGTATGAGTGAGGAAATTGAGCATAAAATGGAGAGGAAACCGCCTATTCTCCTGCCACACCCAGGAGACAGGAAAGCACCATGAAGTTTACAGAAGACATTCTATCCCGCGGTGTTTCGACCTTTGGATGTCAGTCCATCTCCTTTTAATGCGTCTTTCCTTTAAAAATGATTTTCGTTCTTTGCTTTTTCCGGAAACGATTGAAATGAGTTGCAGGTATCATGCTCCAGCACGACGATGGAGTCCGAGGTCGGAGGAGGGGTCCGCTCCGCGGTGCTTGGGCATTCGCCATGCCAAACGCCTGAGGTTCAGGATGACCCTGCTCTGAAGTCCCCAAGAACTTAAAACCAGAAAGGGAGAGCAGGGCTTTTAGCTTAAAGCAGTAATAGGGAGGCTCCAGCCTTTCCCTGAGACACGGGAGACTCAAAGGAAGGACAGGGACCCAGTGCTGACCCCCAGCGGGGATTTCTAGGGCCAGGCAGCTGCAGCACTTGGGGGGTGGGCTGTGCATCGATACAGGAGAGTCGCAAGTGGCAGGCCAAAGTTTAGGGAAATATTTTCAGAAGAGAAAAACCAGAGATGTATTGTTCTCTCAAGCCCCCAAATAGATAAACCCTTAGTCCTGCCTGGGGCCTCTATCAGTCACCTGTGACGCTAAGGCCCGGTGCAGCAGTGGCAGCATGCAGCCCTCATCTCTCCTGGTTGCTGGACTTGAGGTAGCAGTGGCCTCCGTCATCCTTGGACCACTCACTTGCGATTGGAGAAGCAACTGGATTTTGTGCTCGTCTGTTCTGAGCGACCCACCTGAGTTCTGCAGAAACTATGGAGCTGACTCAGCAAAGAAATGAATTGCCTGGCTCGGGAACTGGGTAGGTTGGTACCTTCACGCCTATGAGCTGATATTCAGGCTCTGGTCCCCCTCTGAGGCTGCCCTGTCAAGGCCGGAGTCCTGGCCAGCATGGCCACACAGGGTCCAAGAGGGGCTGCTTGGCCAGCTGTCAACAGCCAGCCTAGTCCCTGGGACTTCGTGGACATGTAGAGTGGCATTTCTCAACTTTCAGTGGGGAAGGATCGCTTTGTTTTAAATCGATCCATCATGGGTCAATCTTTTTTGTAAAATACAATAACAAGGAATTATGGGGAAAATAAAATAAATACAAAATCCAAGATCGAGTTTTAAATTACTAGATTCAACAGACATTAAGTTATATCATGAA